TTCGGAACATAACTCGAGCTCTAGGGCAGCTACAGAGCTGGTAAGCACAGCTAATGCATGCAGAATGATCAGGCGCGTTCGCCTGTTGAATCCAGAGGCCTGAACTCGGTCTGTCAGCCGAGCTAGGTCCGCAAACCTGTTCGTATTATTCGAGTCAACTTCATACGCGTTGTCGGTATGTTCTACCTAACTCGAGATTTACGGCAGCTATAGTGCTGGTAAGCACTCCTATCGCACTCAGAATGGTCAGATGCGTTCGTCTGTTGAATCCAGAGCTCTGAACTCGGTCTGCTAGTCGAGCTAGGTCCGCAAACCTATTCGTATTATTCGAGTCAACTTGATACGCGTTGTCGTTATTCTCTACTTAACTCGAGCTGTAGGGCAGCTACAGTGCTGGTAGGCACACCTACCGCACTCAGAATTATCAGGCGCGTTCGCCTGTTTAATCCAGAGCTCTGAACTCGGTCTCTTGCGCGATCCAGAATCACGAAACTGTTCGTATTCTTCTAGTCATCTTGAGAGCTACTATCGGCGTTCTGCACTTAACTCGGGCTGGGAGGCTGCAGGGCGGGTAATCACAGGAATCGATTCGGAGCTATCAGACGCGCCCGTCTGTCGCATTCAGAGGTCTGAACTCGGTCTGATACTCGTGTTGGGCTCAAAAACTATTCGTTCTCTACAATTTCTTTCGACAGTATATGTTCTCAGGAAGCTCTACGAGTCCCCCGGCGGTAAGAAAGGTTGACGGTTTACCGCCGGCGCCCAGTTGGTCGACCCGGCCAGAAAGGACAATGTGACAAGCTTCCCTTAGCTAGTTATAGCTGGAAGCTTAAGAGTAATTCCGGGGAGCCGGAGAGCTAGTTGGCAAGAAAAATCTCGACGGACCTTTTGCTGACTTTTGGTCGGTTGAAAATACCTCGTAGAGCTCTTCGTCATCGATGAGCTAGAGGAATTCCGGCGCGGGGTGGAGCTAGTACCTCGTAGAGCTCTCCGGCATCGATGAGCTAGAGGAATTCCGGCGCGGGGTGGAGCTAGTTGGCCCACCCGGCCGAGGCGGACAATGTGTTAACTTTTGGGTGGTTTTGCGATTTTTCGAAAGATATTCGACCATTTATTTTAAGAAAGCAGATTTTTCGCACCTGTAAACGAATCTGAGGGCCTCTCTGTCTTAATATGAGCTCTCTAGGCGCACTTTTACTATCAAAACACTTGGCGCAACCATCTTCGTATCGACATGGAAAAAATCATGTTCTCTTTTTCGAGAAATGCTTCCAGAAGCCCTCTCTTTTGATGCTGAGCACTCCTACGCGTGCTAGGAGCTCTACGAGGTTCCCGGCGGTGACCAGGTTGACGGTTCACCGCCGGCGCCAGTTGGCCCACCCGGCCGAGGCGGACAATGTGGCAACTTTTGGGTGGTTTTGCGATTTTTTAAAAGATATTTGACCATTCATTTTGAGGAAGCAGATTTTTCGCACCTGTAAACGACTTCGAGGGACCTCCCGTCTTAATATGAGCTCTCTAGATGGATTTTTACTATCAAAACACTTGGCGGAACCATCTTCATGTCGATACGAAAAAAAAATAGTTTTCTCTTTTTCGAGAAATGCTTCCAGAACTCCCTCTTTCCATGCTGAGCACTCTTACGCGTGCTAGGAGCTCTACGAGGTTCCCGGCGGTGACCAGGTTGACGGTTCACCGCCGGCGCCAGTTTTGTTCTCGAAATTTGACCATTCGTTAGAGCTCTAGTATTTTTTCTCATGATATTCGATCTTATTCCCGCTCGCCATCTTGATCTCAGCTCGATCGGGTAACTTTGAAGGCCAAAAAGCAGGCAGGCGGGAACGGCCATTTCGAGACATCTTGATACGTGCTGTCGGTATTTTGTACTTAAGTCGAGCTGTAGGGCAGCTACAGTGCTGGTAAGCACAGCTATCGCACTCAGAATCATTAGGCGCGTTCGCCTGTTCAATCCAGAGGTCAGAACTCGGTCTGCTACCCGAGCTAGGTCCGCAAACCTATTCGTATTATTCGAGTCAACTTGATATGCGCTGTCGGTATTTTGTACTTAACCCGAGCTGTAGGGCAGCCACAGTGTCTGTAAGCACGCCTATCGCACTCAGAATCATCAGGCGGGTCCGCCTATTCAATCCAGAGGTCCGAACTCGGTCTGCTACCCGAGCTAGGGTCGCAAACCTATTCGTGTTATTCCAGTCAACTTGATAGCGTTGTCGGTATTTTCTGCTAACTCGAGGTCTAGGGCAGCTACAGTGCTGGTAAGCACAGCTATCGCACTCAGAATCATCAGGCGCGTTCGCCTGTTCAATCCAGAGGTCTGAACTCGATCTGCTACTCGAGCTAGGTCCGCAAACCTATTCGTATTATTCGAGTCAACTTGATACGTGTTGTCGGTATTCCCTACTTAACTCGAGGTGTAGGGCAGCTACAGTGCTGGTAAGCACGCCTATCGCACCCAGAATCATCAGGCGCGTTCGCCTGTCGAATCCAGAGGTCTGAACTCGGTCTGCTAGCCGAGCTAGGTCCGCAAACCTATTCGTATTATTCGAGTCAACTTGATACGTGTTGTCGGCATTTTCTGCTTAACTCGAGGTCTAGGGCAGCTACAGTGCTGGTAAGCACAGCTATCGCACTCAGAATCATCAGGCGCGTTCGCCTGTTCAATTCAGAGGTCTGAACTCGGTCTGCTATCCGAGCTAGGTTTATGAAACCACTGTGAGCTACAGGGCAAGTCCCCTCTTAAGTAGTGTTTTAAGTGTTTTTGGCCATTCTCCAAAACTTCATGTTCAGAGTCTCGGCGGAGTCGTGTTGACAGTACCGTTGGTGAGTTCGTTTGCCACAAGTAGTGGCGGGCGGGATGCTGTATGTTATTTGCTTTCTCTACGATAACGCGTATGTCCTCCTTCATCACATCCCTCTCTCAATCCGTGTCTCTAGATGTCTGGGCCGCAATGCTTTGCTGTGTTTGTCATGCGCAGGGCGATTGATAATATTTGGGTTGGATATCTAGATGTTGCATATGCAGATACAAGAACAAACTGTTTGGAACCCACGGTTGTTGGACCAACATGCGTGGATTCCAAACAGTTTGTTCTTATATGGTGAGTTTGTGGAGCACGTGGTGCAAGCCACGACGTGTGAATTTGTCGGCGCTAATCGAGAGACGGAAAACGAGATCTGTTGTTTTGTCCAAGCCGCATTGAAAACGCTTCGGACCATTGACGGGCCCGCCCAGCACGAATCTAACAATGCGGCAACGGGGTGGCGCTGCCAACAACGTGGCCCAATTTCGGTTGACCCGTCAAGCGCGCGTTGCGGCAACAAGGCGGCAACGAAGCGGCGATGGGCGGCAATGAGGGGAACTGTCGGCGGAGCCGTCAGAATCAGTAGGAAGAACAAAGAAACCCCTGTAAGTGCTAGCATCTAGTGACCATCGCAACGCTCGGGCATCTTTCCTGATTCGATCTGCCGACCCGCAGATGTTTCCGCTGACTCCCCAAACCGAGCTTGCACCTATGGTGTCCGAATTTGCCTTTCACAATTTGGATGGGTCCACCGCCGAGGTTCAGTCAACTTGCCGACAAACCCGTCTCGTTGCCGCCTCGTTGCCGCCTCGTGCGTTGGCGGGTGGGTCCGCCGAGGATTCGCGATTGATGCCAGTGCCGCCTCGTTGCCACTTCGCGGCCGCCTCGTAGGATTGGGAAGGGGGTCCTGGTTCCACATTGTTATGTTGTTGCAGCTTCCAGCGCTCCCCGCCGACGTTCTCCCATAGCCATTTTGGCCATCCAGAGGTTTCCAACCATGATCCTCCTATTTTTATGCTTCCATATCATGTCCTCCTGGGCGGACGCTGCACGCCTCGGAGTTGATATTCATCAGGCAGCTGACGAGTCTGACATTGGACTCGTGAATGTGCATAGGGGCGCACAAGTTGACGCACTCGTCGCCGACCCCACACCAGATGCAGATCGCAGGAGGCTTCGTGACGAACAGTATCAGCTGGACGACTGCAGCCTCGACCCGACAGACATGGCCAAGCGGATGAAGATGCACATTCCAGACGACACAAGCAGCCAACTTGGTCGTGATGATAGCACCCTGCTCCCATTCATCCGCATGGCCCGCAACATGGCGAAACGAATTGTTTCAGACTGCAGGTTTAACCCGTGCACGGCGGACTCTGATCACCACTGCGATCGTTTGGCAAATTTTCTGTTTTCACGGTGCCAACGGGTGGCTAGCGCCATCTCTACTGCAGAACTTGTGGGCGTACGTGCAGGCCAACTGACGGGGTACAAAGAACGGCCGGCAAACGCACTCATACTATCAAGCCGCGCGTCGCGGTCACAGTTGGAGGACGCCCTCGTCGCTCAGATGCCCAGCGACTCTTTGCTGCTGTATGTTGATTACTACAGAGCGGACGAGACACCTCTGCCAGTGCGCACTCGCGCCACGGACTCCTTGTCAGAGCAGAGCGTGGCACCGTCGTCCCAAGGCAGCGGCCTTCCAGGACAACAGCTTGTTCATCACGATTTCGGGTCGCTGGATTTCTCAGCCGACGCCACGGTGCCGCGCAAGATTTTGCAGAGTGAGTCCAAGTTCGGCATGTTGGTGCAATGCGGACATCCACACAACCAGTTTGCAATATGTATTGGCAATACCCTCAACTGGCTGCAGTACATGGACCGCACAACGGCGGAATGCCTCAAAGCAGCATGCAAAATGACAAGAGCAGTTGGGCAGCCATCCCGTCAATTCAAAATGAAAGTGAGGCTCGTAGTAGAGGATGCTGCTGTTTCAAATTTGAAAGCTGAGCGCCACATCCTATCCGACCTGCAATCCGATGATGACGGATGGCTCGGACTATCGATCGAATGCCAGGTGCATAAAACGGCTGGCTGTTTCAAGAAAGTGTTCGGTTTGGTGGACAATGCCATCCGTGGTCAAATACACTGGGCTCTCTCCATCAATTATGGGACTGGTTTGTTGATCTGGCGGCAGGAGCTGAAGAACACAATCAAGCAACGGTTGCGCATCAAGTACGGCAGCCCTCCAGCGGGTTCGAATCAACACAGGCTTCAGATTCTGCGAATATGTTTGGCACGGAGCGCCCATCGCATCGACAAGCTGATGGCCATGCACGGCCTCCCGAATGGAGATTGGAACAACATGAAGGAAGTCGAAGTCTGGGTGCCTGTCGGTGCCGTGGTCGATAGGGACAGGGTCAGCGATATCGTTTCTTCAGCTTTGATTCAAGTTGGGGCTTCATGCAAATATACGCTGTGGCCCAGGCACAGATGGACCAAATCAGATGAAGCGATGGACCAGGTCCTCCTCCTCGAGGCTTGTCACGGTCTGTGCTCAGCGACGTACCCACAATTTGCCAGTCGCATCGTTCACGCTTCGCGAGGTCCCGCGATCCCGTCTTACAGCACTGGGTCAGAGAACGGACTTGGCCTTAGGATGGTGTGTGTTCCTTCCTCCTTTCTGTGCCATGTTTCCTTTATGTTCCTATTGTGTTCCTTGCATGCGTTGTTTCGCCCATTCTCGCCCCCTCTTGCTGTCTGCCTGCTCCAAGGCGCCGCCCAAGAGCTTCTCGCAGCCTTCGCCGAAAAGCTTGCGCGAAGCTCTTGGGGGGTGGGTGTCTGGGGGCGTCTTGGATGGCCAACTGCGCCCCTTGAGGCAATCTAGGAGGCGATCTAATATGCGAAGCAGCGGCGTCAACTGCGCCCCCTCCCTCTCCCCCACCACTGGATGCCACGATCCTCGTGAGGGGTGTCAGAAACAACCATCCCAAGAGTCGAAAAGAAGCCCTGATACCTCGCGCCCCCCCCCCCCACCCCCCTCTCCAGGCCCAGGGTGGGGGGGGGGGGGATTGCCCCCCCCCTCGATTGGGGAAGACGAGCGCCATGAAGCAAAGGGGCCGATCTAGCCCACTCAGGCCCAGAGGTTTGGTCGGATTTCGAGGAAGGGGAGCATCCGCGCGGTCCCCGAGGGCGCAGCTGGTGACTGCGACGCAGACGGCGGCGACGGAGTTGAGGGCGTCGAGCGCGGAGGTGGCATTGACGCTGGCGCTGCTCAGGCGGAGGGAGATGTACCTCAGCGCATGTTGGACCCTCCTAAGTCTGCAGTCGACAATGAAATGCACAGGCGCCTCGCAGGGGAATGGCTGGCCTCTCGCCCGCTAGCTCAGTGCATCATCATCCGAACAGTGATGGAGCCATTGCGAGATTATCTTGCTTTGCAGTTACATTTGGCATCAGACACGTGGGAGCATTCTCAGCAGTACGTTGACGCAGTGCGGGCTGCGGACGCCACCGCCCCCATGAGGGATTACCGATTGGGCGTTGCAGTGAGGAAGCTCCTGGACACGCGCTTCAGAGGGAAGCAGGACATATTTTTCATGAACGGCGAGCTCTGGGAGAACCTGTTGCCGCCCAACTGCAAGACCCTTTCTAACAGGAGCATGGCCTTCAAGCTGCTGTCGGCCAGCAGCTGCTGCATGGAGGCTACTTTGGAGAGGCATTTCGATGCGATGCCGCTCGCGTTCTTCCGTGTCATGCTGGAGTCCGAGGACCCCGCGTCTTATATGAGCCAGGTGAAGAAATGCATCCTTGACCCGTTCGTGAGGCGTTTCATCGAGATTACTGAGAAGGACGGCGGCACGTTGAACAGTCATGTGACGCGTGCTCGCATCGAGCTCTTGTTGATGATGGCTGACGTGTGCATCAGCCGAATCGAGGTTGGACACGCGTCGATTCGACGTCGAATTTTCGCCAGGTCCGTGCACACCAAGGGGTGCGACCTTGACCAGCTCAGCGCAGAGTTTGTTTTGGAGAAGGCTCGGCACTCGGTCGCTACATCGGCGTGGTTCTTGCCCAACGGTGCGAGCGCTGCCCAACCGCCTGGGCATCGGCCTGGCGACGCCCGACGCCAAGCGTCGCATTCCGGAGGCGGCGGTGCATGGAGGGCGTACATTCGCAACGAGTCGAGTGGCACAGAGGGCAGGCCCGACCTGCGCGCCCTTGCACAGGCGTACAAGCACATCGGCGATGAGATGAAGGCGATGTTGCAGGAGCAGGGGAGTCGCGCCACTGAGGTGCACAGGGACATGAGGAAGTGCACGGATCGACCAGCTTCGAGCATCGGCCTTACTACGAGCGAAGTGCGCCGCCACCAGCGACAGCAGCAGCATGAGGCTGCCGTGCAGCGGGCCTTGGCCGCGAGCAGCGGGAACCCCATTCCACTTGAAGACGAGGCAGCGTCGGCGATGGAGCAGGCCCACAGAGGCGAGATTTCAGTTCAGCAGGCGGTCGACCGTGTTAAGCGGGAGAAGCGCATCAGCAAGGAGGTCGCTGGCCAGCGGGCTGCGAAGAACGCAGCTTTCGTGGCTCAGCACGTCAGTCAACTCAACGCACAGAAAGAGATGTTCATGCAGGCCGTTCAAGGGATCGACCAGCTGTCGAATGAGTTGGCGCCGATACCTACAGCATCTACTTTGTCGATCAGCCTCGTGCCCGACACCCACTGCTGCGCGACCATGGTGAGGATGTTGCATGACAGTTCCAAGCGGACAAACCTCGGGAAGACCATGGATGCCGACTGGAAGAGGAAGCACAAGCCGATCCTACATGACGAGTGCGAACCTCTACCACCACGTCCGCAACGTCGAGGCAAGCCTCCTTGTCACGAGGTAGGCCAATGCTTGTGCAGTCCAGAGGGGAACCAGACCTACATGTTCAGAAACAGGTTCTTACGTGAGATGAAACTCCACTTCAACAAGAGGAACTTCCCCTACCACATGGACCTGCTGATGAATCGAGATGCGGTTGCAAAACTCACGGGGAGACGGCCTGCCATTGACAACCCGTGGGCGGCAGCCGCTGGGGAAGCCGTGGACGCCAGGACGGACGTCATGTTCTTGCACATCGGTTACCACTCGTTCTCACCGTACTCCCCGAGCTTCCTTCGGCTTCGACCTCGGTCAGATCTCCCTGCGCAGCTGGACGATGGCAACGTCGAGCTCGAGGCGGGCGCGGGCGCACGAATCCATGGCGGTGCAGTTGAAACGGTCGAGTTTTAGCGTCGGCCCAACCTGTAAAATGAGAACGGGAACCAACACCACACGTAGTTTCCTGGGGGGATGCCGTCCACCCATGGGCCATGCCATCGGCTCGGGAAATGCGATCTGGGTCTCGGGACACTCACGCCTCTTCAACTGGGGGTCGGGCACCACGTCGACGCGTGGCAACTCTGCGCTAGGCACGTGACGACGGCGACCCTCCTCCAGCTCTCTTTTCGTACACACCCTATCAGTCAGCCTTGGCTTGCTCGCATTCCTCGTCCTCCTGCTCATTGTTGGCGCGTTCCCCTGGGCCAACCACCGTTCCGCCCCATACTTGTAATATGATGGTGCGTGAATGTCAATGCTCGCTCTCCTCATCTGTCCCAGCATTCTGAGATGAGCCATATCCCTTGTGCATGGCGTTGGTTCGCGCCGATGTGCCTTGCTAGTGGCGGCGCATCGTGCGTCCTATATTCGTCCGTGCCAGCCCGACGTGCCAATTGCGAGCATCATTGGAGGATGTCTCAAGCATACGCTTTCAGGCCTTCGGCCCACCCCGCCGCCAAGTTCGGGCTGGTCCAGGACCTCCATGAGCCCCTTGGATGTCGCTGAGGGGCTCGTGGGGTGATTGTCGGTGGGTTCGTGGATGGCATTGGGGGATTCTTGGCGGGCGTCTGGGGTGCCAGTGGTTACCTGAGGCCTCCTGGAGTCACTTCGTAGGCTTCGTGCGTGTTGTTCTAGGTGGTGAGGGGCGGTCGGTGGCCTCTGGTGGGCTATGTCTGCCACCTTGGTGGCAAGCTCGGCACGCCGTCTCGCATCCGCCCCCTTGGGCGCTCTATGGTGGGCCGTCTCAGGTGTCTCGGTCCTCCTGGGCGGCGTTGGCTAACAATCTGAATGCGCCACTGGTCCGCATTGGGGCCCCCTCGGTTGTCTACGTGGCCGCCCTAGGCTGCCATCGAGGGTCTCTCAGGCAACCATGAGGCGTTGGAAGCATAACAACGCGACAGCGCCACCGCCCTTCAAACAACGGAAGGATACATATTCCCTTTTCCCATCATTGCGTATGCGCCTTCGCGGGGAGCTCTGGGGGGGCCGTGCATCTGTCTGGCAACCTCGGCCCTCCTGGGCGCGCTGGGGCGCACTCGGACTGCGTCGGGAACATCGTTAACCAACACTATTGGGCGTTTCTCTCGGAGTTCTAGGTGCGTGTTTGGGGCCGTGCAATGTCTGTGAAAGTAGCGCGGCAGACCGTGAGAGTGAGCCAGAACGCCAAACTAAGTGCGGGATTGGTTGCCACGACACGTGCATGAATACATATAGCACACCGCGCAACTGTTTCGAAAGCGTCTGGGGTCAACCCACTTCATGCCCTGAAGAAGGGTCCCCGATACTTCGCCATGCGGTCAGTATTCGTCAAGCGATGCCACATGGTGCCCTATGGGTGGCGCCCTATGGCTGGCATCGGGCCGTTGTGTATGAGAAGCGCCATGGGTTTGGGCGTCGCACGGCGGGAAACGTGTGCCTGGCGTTGTAGTAGTATTAGTATTGTTGATGGTCCATGTTGTTGGGCAGCCTGCGTTCTATGGCTGTGCCATGCGGTTGGTGCCATCTGGTTGTTGCCCCATGGTATCTCACAACGCCGTCCTGCTGGTGCAAGGCTGGTGGGGCACCACAATTGGCTTCCCAAGTTTCCCGATCGGAAACGCGCAATGATAATACAATGCCTTGCAATGACAATGCAATACACCCAACTCCCTGGGCGTGGTCGGGAGTGAGTCGTTCGGGCCCCTCAATTCTCGGTCGGGGGGGTGGGTCGTTCGGACCCCTCCGTTCTCGGTCGGAAATGAGTCGCTCGGACCCTCCAATTCTCGGTCGGAATTGGGTCGGTCGGGCTCATCCGTTCTCTGACGTTAATCGCTCGAACCTTTCATGTTTCGGTCGGGTGCGAGTCGTTCGGGCCCCTCCGTTCTCGGTCGGGGAGGCGTCGTTCGGACCCCTCAGTTCTCGGTAAGGGGTGGGTCGCTCGCCCCCTCCACTTCTCGGTCGGGGTGAGTCGGTCGGGCCCCTCACTTCGCGGTCCTACAATTGGCGCCTTGCCGTGCTGGAATACGGTTCGGGAACACGCTCTGCTATGACGATGGCCGCAACTCGACGCGCAGGAACTGATCATCCAACGCGAGCGGTCCAGGAGGCCGAACACAGTCAAAACCTCTGCCCTGATGTTTTCAGGGCGTCGCATGTCTGGGCCTTCCTGTGGCACACGTGGCGCAACCAAAGGGTCGGTGGCCAACCCCCTCCAGCTGATTCAGAGCCGAGCTCAGCCTAGCACGACAACCGCATAAAAATGACCGCGGTCATTTTTATGCGCCTGTGTTTGGAACGGCTGCGCAGAGGGCGCACGCCTGCCGTTAGTGCGCGTCCCTCCTGGGAGGCATGGACATTGGCGCCAGCGCCAAGTCGAGATGACCGAAGAACGGAGGAGGAGA